GCTATTATTATTCTATATATTGTTGCGTTTCTCTGAGGATTCGCACCTACATTCGAACAGCCGAGTGAGAAAATGCACGTTCGCTTGTTTCAACTCGAGGAACTACTAGCAGAGTGGCTCCCAATACATGTTCTGTACAATATCTAGTATTGGGAGAAAGAAAGAAAGAAAAAAAAAAAAAAAAAAAAAAAAAAAAATGTTCATTCTGATGAAATGGGCAGTTCATCTCATGCTGTACTTTTATTTGTCATTTATTCTATCTTTATCTCCTTTTGTTTGACAATGTATATTCATTTATAGTGTATGCGAAGGTGTAGATAAAAATGGCATACTTGTGTTTTGTAACATGATCAAAGTTTTTATATATTTTCTTCATGTGTTTTCTTTTTGTCAGATCCAAACTGAGTCTATAAACTATAAATGTGCTATGTTATCATTTTAGAACAACTGAACAGCAAAACTGTAGTAGGGCAACAATGACTGTGTTCATGTGTGTGTTTGCTGAAGAACTGAAGTTGAACCGAAGATTTTTTTATTTTCTATTATTGAATCATTGGTTTTATTGTTACTATATATTTTGAACCACTTCTCTTGCAAAATACCATAACATGTAGTTGGGGGGGAAAAAATATATATATACAGTAAGTCCCCAACTTAACCCATTCGCGCTGGGTAAAAATAAACAAAAAATGGGGAAAATGCTGTGCTCATTTTTTATGAAATTTCTCTACACTAGATGGCTCTGCCTTACCTGATTTCGATTGGCGGGAAAATGTATTTTTACTAGTGTTACGAATATCGATGGTTATTTTTATTATAAACATTATAATTACTATAATTTTATAAACATTAGTAACAACAAAATAAAATAATGCAAAATAATTTCGTAAATCAAAGAAAAGGGTAAACAGGCGAGACAGGCAGTACAAGTACAAGTGGAGCCATCTATGTGTTAAAACAATTAAACAAGTAAACTCACAGTGAGCCTGTCACGTATACGTGACGCCCGGCACGAATGGGTTAAGAACATAATGGCGACCGAGAGGCTGTTTATAAGTTGATTTGTTTGTAAGTCGAAAGTCGGGTCTCCATTACCTTTTTCCCCATTGTTTTAAAGTTTTGTTTACATTAAGAATACTTGTAAATAAATCCCAATAAGTACGACATACCTTATACAGTACCATACTCTTGAACTATATTCGTGCCCGGGAAATTTGAAGTTTGCTAGCATCTTTCAAACAATTTTTTGGACTTTAGTACTTAAAAAATTTTGTTTGTATGTATGGAATGTTCATAAGTAGAATATTCCTAAGTAGGGGACTATCTGTACATAAATAAGTATAGATTTCCTTCCTTCCTTTTTTCTTTGTCAAGGATTCACAAAATCAAGTAATTGGTAGGGGGCTTATTAATTTTGAAGATATTTTTACTATTGATTTATTGGTAAAAAGAGAAAAAAATAATTGTAGAAAAGAAAGGCCAATACTGGGGAGCAATTATACATATAAACACAATGTGTCGTTATTCAAAACCTTGTCCAATCTGCAGGACAGAGATAGCATGCTTATGTGACGTCCTGGTTTCCTCCATAACACTTTCCATTCCTTTTTAGCATGATCTCTTAGCTATTGGGAGGTTCTTTCCTTTCCCAAATATTAACAATATTCACCCAAACATTTTTCATGGGGTTTAAGTCACATGCCCTGCTTTGCCGCAGAAGGGATTCCACGTGGTGTTGGTCTTCAAACTACTTTGTAACTGCCCTTGGGTATTGGGCATTTATCCTGCATGAATATTGTTGTTTCTGGGAAGGGCCAAAGGATAGCAATGTGCTGATGGGAGGAATATATCGTCTAACAATTTCAAAATATTTCTAAACCTGAATTTCTCTCGGCGAGTTCACCAACACCATCCATGAAAATCCACCCCACTTCTCGTAGGTCATGGGCCACTCCTCTCCGTTTCATAGATATGTCATCTGTCACATCTGAAAAGTAAAAGATGAAAAATAAACAAAACATAAAATATGATGTAGAAGGTACTTGTGTAAATATATAAATATATAAATATATTGCATCTTGTATAAATATATATCTTTATCAAAATCTGAATTAAGTCTGTGAACAAATTGAGAAAGGATGATGATATTTGCACCTGTTATTTCTCATCCAACAATGGAGCTTCCTGTGTTGGCAATTTAGTTTGTTCAACCTCTTTGATGAATCCCATCTGCATGCAGTCGATTTTTGTTTATTGAATCAGTGTTTTACTGCTTGACTCAGGTGAAAAAAGAGGTAACTATTAGTTTGATTAGCCGTTTCTAGATGGTGCAGCTACGAAAACCATTTACAAAGGTATCAGCAAATTTGAAGAATTTTATTTGATACAGCTGCCATATATAGATTTTTAAAGCATGAAGCATTTTCAAATTTCAAGAAATTTGCAGTTGTTGTTGATACTTGCTCTGTTAACTGAAGGGTGTAATGCCACCTCACCTCCATAGGTGATGCAATTTAAATAAACAAACATTTCCAGGAAATTGCATTTGAAAAATATCCCACAGTTGATCATAACTAAAAATACATGTTTTGTTATTACTTATTTGAAGAAAACGAAAGATGAAATGGCTTACATAGTTCTTAAAAATACTAATACACTTGTGGGTCGTTTATGTTCTACCAACTAAAGGCTTTCTTACAAGCAATCTAGGGTTTTCACCTCATTTATAAGAAATAATATGTTTACATGAAAGTGGCTGCCAGATGTACAGAAGTGGGACCCAGCAAGTGTACTGAAATATAATTCCACAACTGTGCATGCCATGCCTGTCAGCATTGGGTTAAAGGGACTTCCTTATACTTCAGGTAGTATAGATTAAGATTAGGTGGTATTGATATGTGATATTAATACTCCCTTTCCCCCACAGTACTGAGAGGGGCTCGGAAAAGGTTTGTGTACAGCCATGAAACCCTAGAAGCCGCAGTCCACCACTTGCGTCAGAAGAACCACTCTCTATCATGGGTGAGCAAGCACTATGGTGTCCCGCGATCCACCCTCTCGGCCAGGCTTAAGTCCCCTCACCCCCTGGCCAGGAAGATGACAGGTAAGGGAACCGCCTTGCCGTATGAGGAGGAGGAGGCCATCAAGAAGTGGATCCTGGAGATGAGCACGAAGGAAGGCACGCAGGCCTGGCAGACCATAGCCAGGACAGTTCAGGAAGTGCTAAATGAACGAGGGCTCAAAGTGTTCAAGAACAATAACAAGCCAACGTCTGGCTGGCTCCAAGCCTTCTTGAGGCGCCATCCCGAGCTCAGGAAGATCCGCATTGGCTACTGGACAACGGGCATAGTTGGGGACCCCACCAAGAGTAAGGAGAGCAAGGATACCCTGGAAGTAAAAGTTGTGGTCCCTGGGCTAGAGGATGAGGATGAGGAGGATTACTCTAATATAATAGAGGAATACACGACAGAAGAGTCGTCTGATGAACTAGAAGAGGAATTACTAAATAGCAAAGAGAACATCCTGAGAAAAGATGCCATCAAAGTTGAAGCTGAGGACATCCAGCCAAGTGGAGGCGGCAAGGAAGCCTCTGAGATGCCTCTCCTTCACAAGGAAAATCTTGCTGTGGTTTTGAAAAAGCAGAAGACCTTGCACACACAGGACACAAAAGCATCTCTTGGGGAAACAGAATTTCTGCCAGGCAGTAAGGTGAGCACCAGTCCCTCATCCCTTGAGGAGCTCTCACCCAAAGCTCAGCGGGCAAGCATTACTCCTGATTCGTTGGACAATGTTCTTTCGAGGATTAAAGCAGATGAGTCTTCCCCTAAGCTTGATGGGCTTTCTTCAAAATTAGAAAAGTCTCCCAAATCAAATGATCCTTCTTCAAGAGGCCTCAGTGATTCTAAACTGAATGGTGTTCCTCTCGAGGCATTGTCCATGGACTTGAATGTCCTTTCTCCAGAGCCAAGTGATTCTTCCCTAGATGTGAGGAGTCCTTCTTCAGAGTCGAATGGCTCTTCCCTGGATGTTTGTATTCTTTCTCCAGAGCCAAGTGATTCTTGCTCCCAGCTGGAATGTCCCTCTCTACACCTGAGTGATTCTTCCATGGAGGCAGACAACTTCCCAGTGCTGAGTCGGTCTTCCCCAAATATCAGTAGTCCTTCAGATCCCAATGATTCTGGCCCTGGATGGTATGGTCTTTCTCCAGTGCTAGGTGCTTCTTCCCCCAAAGTGAACGGTCTTTTCCGAAAGCTAAGTGACTCCTTGCCACAACAAACTAGTGTGTCTTTTAAGATGTGCAGTTCTTCCCTCCAGCTGAACTCTTTCGGAGGGGAGACCTGTAAAGTCTTATCGAACCAGGTGAAGGCAGAAGTGGGAGATCAGGATGGACTTGGAGGAAATATAAGTGAAAGTGAAGGTGGAGGTGCAAGTCGAGGAAATGAAGACGGAGGTGTAGGAGTGAAAGGAAATGGAAACAGAGTTACAGATAAGGGAAAACAAGATGGAGGTGTAGTAAAAGTAACGGAAATAGGAAGAAAACAAGGAGGAAAAAGAATAAAAAGAAAAGGAAAAGAGGGGGGAGGATTTGGAGTAGGAGCAAAAGTAAAAGTGAATGTAGAAAAATGGGAAGGAGAAGGAGAAGAGAGAGTGGAAGGGGGAGGAAAAAGAGAAACGGAAGAAAGCTTAGGGCAGAGAGTAGCTGAAGCCAGCTTAAAAGGAGTAGGAAGGGAAGGAGGAGCAGCAGTAGCAGTAAGAAAAGGGAAGAAGGGAGTAGGAGCAGGAAGATATGTAGGATCTGGAATAGAAAGAGAAAGAGGAGCAGAAGCAGGGGTAGGGGTAGGGGTAAGGGTAGGGGAAGGGTTTGGGAAAGGGGAAGGAGGAGCAACAAAAGGATTAAGAAAAGGGGAAGTAGGTGAGGGAATCATGGAAGGAGGAGCAGGAGTAAGAGTAGGACTAGGAAGAGGGGAAGGAGTAGCACGAGTCAGAATAGGAAGTGGAGA